CATACACACACACACACTGGGTACAGTGCTCCCCCTCACACACACACACACACACACACACACACACACACTAGAAACGGCACCCACACACACTGGGTATAGCATCACCCTGCATACACACTGGGTACGGCGCTCCCTCTCCCACACATACACACACACACACTGGGTACTACGGCGCCCCCCCCCACACACTGGGTACAGCACCCCCATCCCCTGCACACGCGCATCCTAACACCCACCCCTCCTTGTGTGTGGTCGTGGAAGGGGTTACAACAGACATCCCAGCCTGACTGGCCCAGCACAGACACGAATCAGCTACATCAGGGCAGAGGAAGCCCAGCTGCCGAGGCGGGATGGAAGGGGAGTGAGACGGTCCCTTAAGTACCTTGGGCATAAATGATTCAGTCCACAGAGTAGTGCCGCAGGGAGAGAGGCAGGGTGCACCAGGCCTACAGGCAGCAGAGTTTGGTTCTTCTCAGCACAATAACCTCCGTGACTCGGTTTCCCCAGGTGCGATGGCGCTTTCCTCACAGGGGAGGGGACGGTTGGGCAGCTGAACTTGTCCCAGCGGAGGACAGAGACAAGCCAGCTGAGCTGAGTTGCCTTGAAGGAACATATGGGAAGAGATGGTCCCTTAAGTACCCGGGGCCTAAATTATTAATCACACACAGCGGTGCAGAAGGGGGATCCCAGTGAAAGGGAAACCTCAGGAGAGGAATCCTGCTTAGTCTCTTAGCTCAGTGACTACAAAGCATCAGCTGGACAGCCTTAACCCTTTCCTTCCCATGGTTGGATGGGGTGTGTGTGTTTGTGTGTGTATGCACACAGGCATCCTAAAGTAGCACGGCAGGGCTGGCCACAGGGACTGGCCCTGTGTTATCAAAGGTTTTAAGAGCAACGCAACCATCTGATCTCACACAAGGTTCTTGACTCACGGGAGTTTTTCAGAGTTGGTGTCCTTCTCATTGCTGACTAGTTCTTCCAGTTCCTGGAAACAGATACCGCTATCATAGTGTGTGTGCGCGCGCGCGCATCCAGGCCGGTACCAACGCCCTCTGCTGGATGGACTCACAACTGCTCCAGTGTGTGTCTTAGGCCCTATACTGCTAACAGCGAAAGGAGAGTCTCCAGTCTACCCCTTTTTATTTCAAGCACAAAGGGGGGAACTTTCAAAGGCACTTCCATTTGTGGCTTGAAAATCTCCCTCAGGCTCAACTTTAGGATCCAGTCTGACAGTTTCTCGGTTGCATCAACTAACACTTCTGTCAGGTCGGTAGAGTCACGCCAGCAGAACTGCTCTCGGGGCCTGGCACAAGGCCCTCTCGTGTTTATAAGAGCACCGAGCACAATGGGGCTCTGGCCCAAGACTGAGCCTCCGACGTGCTATCGCAATACAAATAAATAACAGTGCGACGTATGGTAGCAAGGAAACGCTGTTGGACTGCACTCCCCAGACAGGCAGCTCTGGGCTTAGAAATCAGGGAATTCAATATGAAAGACAGTTAGCAGCAAAATCCAAACAATACATAGATTTAAAACCCCAACAACATGTCTGTGCAAGATGCCACAAAGGGAATCCAGTTCATTTAGCTCAGCAGTTCTCAATTTGGGGGTCAGGACCCCTCAGGGGGTTGCGAGGTTATTACATGGGGGGGTCGCGAGCTGTCTGCCTCCACCCCAAACCCCGCTTTGCCTCCAGCATTTATAATGCTGTTAAATATATTAAAAAAGTATTTTTCATTTATAAGGGGGGGGCACATTCAGAGGCTCGCTCTGGGAAAGGGGTCACCAGTACAAAAGTTCGAGAACCACTGGCTTAGCTAATGACGGTAGCAAGGCCAGATTTTTAAAGGGATTCAAGCACTCAAAGACCTTTACAATTCCAGCATTTGGTCCCTTCTCCTGTCTTTGGGCCAGTCGCTAGAGGAGAGAATCATTCGTGTACTACAGTTCGCTCCTGCATTATCAGAGTACAGTTGTGTCCCTCTCTGCCTCTTGTGTCTGTACTGAACCAACGGTCCCGCCTGGCTTTACGGGGTGCCCTCTTTCACAAGATTCAACTGGATGGTCTCCTTTTCCCACACTGTTGTGTAGTGTTGCTGTGAGCTGTTAACCAGCTGCCACAATCCCACCCCAGAAGTAGCTGCATTTCAGTTATGAGTAAAACAACAGGTGCATTTTAGTTATGGGTGAATCAATTTTTATGTATATAGAATAATCCACTGAGGGAAAGGGGCTTGAAACCGTAAGCTGGATCTAATTTTTGTGACGGGCCTACCTCCTAAAACCTATGCACTCTGAGATGAGGACCCTCTTGTACACATACATAGTAAGAGACAGTCCCTATTCTAGAGTTTGCAAGGGGTGGGTGGGGAAAAGGGAGGATTCTTATCTGCATTTTGCAGGTGAGGAAACTGAGGCACAGAGCGGCGCAGTGTCTAAGGTCATAGAGGGAGTCTATGGTAAAGCCACGAATTGAACTAACAGTTCCTAAGTCCCAGAGCAGCGTCTTAGCCACTAGACCATCCTCCCTGGAGGAGGAGGAGGGGCAGCTCTGGGAGGGGATTTTGAAACATGCCCCCGATCCAAACCTATGAGCATCAGGTTCGGTGTGGGAAGCGGCAGCGCAGTTCAGGTTGCCCAGGGCTGATAGCCGTCCCCAGGAGACTCTCCCCAGCACCGACTCCACCCACCTACTACAAGCCCCCTGGCCAGCGCCGGGTGCCCCAGAGAGAATGAACAGACCCGGTAATTATCAAGTGATCCATCCCCTGTTGCCCATTCCCAACTTCTGGCAAAACTAACTAGGTAACGCTGCACATGCTACTGAATGGTTTCAGAGTAGCAGCCGGGTTAGTCTGTATCCGCAAAAAGAACAGGAGGACTTGTGGCACCTTAGAGACTAACATTTATTTGAGCATAAGCTTTTGTGGACTACAGCCCACTTCTTCGGATGCATGTGCATCCGAAGAAGTGGGCTGTAGTTCACGAAAGCCAATGCTACTGAATGAGACTCATGGCTCATCCTCAGCGCAACATTGCCGAGCAGGCCAGCTGCACCAGCCATGAACGGGGAGTGGGGGGTGACCATGAATCCCCCTCCCCAAAGGGACCCCGCCTTAGTGCCGCCCTGCGAGCTCCCCAACCCCAAAGCAGGCCAGCCAATTGCAGGGACAGCGTCGTGTTCATCTGCGCTCAGTGACCGGGCCATGAATCTAAACGTGGCCTGGAGCCAACCAGCCCTGATCCCCTTTGCTTTGTGTTCTGGAGAGCCCGGGGGGGAAAGCGACTACGATTCGCTTCCATAGACCCCCCCACAGCAGCGGTGCAATCCCTGACTCAACAGGGGAGCCAGCCCTGCTCCCCCCAGGCAAGAGACCAGCAGGGGCTTGGCTCCGAAAGGAAATCAACATGCACAAGGATTCCTCAGCAGCCCACACTGCCCTGGACTGGGTCCAGGCAAAGCCAGAGCTGAAAAGGGAAAATGCCTCCAGTTGGGAAATGCAGCCCGCCCCCCCCCAAAATGGGACCACCCCGCAACTGCCCCAGCAGGTCAACAACCCCAGCAAACAGCCCGGGAGATTCCGGGAGCTGCTCACTGCAAAACCGCCACCTCTCTATTCAGCTCTTCCCCGGGGAACCAGGCCGGGGGGGGGCGAACCACCCGCTTGGGAAAAGTCCCGTTTTTCAAGCCTCCGCTGTCTCATCTCCCAGCGACGGACGCCGGGCACCCCTGGCTAGCGGCAGCTGCCTACCGAGAGCGAGAGCCCGGGATAATGGGTGATTCATTGGGCTATTAAAGCGCATTAGGTGGAGAACGGCTCATCGGAGAGCGCATTGCTCGGAGTCTGCTTTCTCTCCCCTGTGCCATTAAATACCACACACTGCTCTGCACACAAAGCAAATGCCTAGATCCCCCCCCCCCGCCCCCGCCACCTCCAAAAAAAATCCTAGTGGATGGAAATGCAGCGGGATTAGCAGGCTGAGCGACAGCGCCTTAGCGGTGTCTACGGTCCAGCAAACATCCAAATAATGCAAGAGCCAGAATCCCCATCTGCAGCAGAACAACCCACATTGTCAACAGAGATATTAACCAACCTGGTTCCTTTGTCTCCCATGGCCCAGCCACTTGTCGGGGAAGGAGCGGAGAGGGGTGGAAAATCACTAGCTGTTAACGTGGAGCCGAGGAAGCGGTCTCTTTAGGCAGGAGCGGCTTCTCGTGCGCTCCCCCGCACAGACACACAGAGCCCGGCTGCAGGCGAGGCGGAGAGCTCCGCGGGGCTGTCGCCTTCCTCCGTGGCTAACAACAACAAGGCGGCTGGGCGTGTGTCCGTCCGGCTCTGAAGTGCCTTTGTTTCTGGAGCTCACCGAATGGAGCAAGCCCAGCTGTTGTGCGCGGATGTAAAACCAGCCATGAGATTAGGGGCACGGGCGGAAATCCGAGGCACAGGGACACACACACACACAGCGGATCCCTTAGAGGGAGGTTGCTCTCAGACACGGCTGCTCCATCTCTCCCACTGACAGCTTCCCCTCTTGCTTCTATGGCGAGAGATCCACCCTCGCTCGGCTCTGAGCAACACTGCCTCCTCCTCCAGCCTTGCACAGCTCAGGACTGAGCCGTGCACAGCTACTGCAGCCAGTGTGGTGACAGGCTCAGGCAATCATCATCATCCTCTCCTCTCCGACTGCCCGGAGCTGCATGAGAGCAGGGGGCTGGCTCTGCTTGTGGCCTGTGAACTCCAGAGTGTGTGCGCGCTCGGGAGCTGGCCACGCAGGGGAGTTTGAGTCTCCTAGAAATGCTCTGAAATGACCCTTCTCTTTCTGATGCCAAACAGCTGGGTTTGGGCAGAACCCCTCCCACTCTGGCTGCTTGGCTTGCAGGACAATGCACAACCGGCCTCACTGCCCCCGGAACTCACCCCGATCAGCCTCTTATTCACAACCATCTTCCACTAGGGCACATTGCATCTGAAGGGCTTTACTGACAAGAGAGACTGGAATTGCTCCCCCCACCAGCTGAAATGCAGCCACCTCTGGAGTGGAACATGGCTACCGCAGAACACGGCCTCCCAGTGCTTAGCAAAGTTCTGTGCCTGGGGAAAGTAGGTGCCTTGTAACCAGCACTGGCTTCTAATTTGGGTGCAGGTCGGAGCTCCCCTCATGCTTCGGGTGCACATCCAAGCTTCAGTCACGCCATACTAGAATGTACATGAACCCAGCGTGTCACATCCCCCTCTAGTGAGAACAACCTACCATTGCTGCCAGCAGACGGAGTTACTCCTTTAACACAAGCAGCAGATGTCAGCGGTGTGGTGTTTAAGGGCCTGGGTTTAAACCCTCCTGATGACCCCTGGCATTTGCACAGGTGAGCAGAGATGCTAGAGCTACTGCCCCTCACGCCCCCTGCTGGCCTGACAGCCTGTTTATTCACTTACTAGGCACGGGCGGGGTAGGCGGAATGGGGAAGCCTTGGTGGGTATGGATGCAGCCACACGAGCCCATTAGATAAGCTTCAAACCATACAGTGACGCGTGATGGACCACATCTGAACAGAACAAGCTCAATGCGCCTTTAGGAGACAATGGAAAAGAGGAGGGACTAGGTCATCCAGTCTGGCCTCCTGTATATCAACCCAGGAACCCAAATTAGCAACCAACGTATTACAGCCCACAGGAGACCGGACTATGCCATAGGCAGAGAACAGGAGGCTCCAAGGTGCAACAAGGCCCCTGGCATGGTGGGGAAATGATTAAATGAGACATACCCAGATGATAGCGAGTGACCTGCACCCACATGCTGCAGAGGAAGGAGAAAAAAACACCCCCAAAGGTCAGTGCCCATGTGACCAGGGGGGAAATTCCTTCCCAACCCCACACAGGTCGATCAACTAGACCCTGAGCACATCGCAAAGAACCAGCCAGGGAAGCACCAGAGAGCGAGAACGCTCAGTGACCCCACTCACCCCATCCAGAGCCTCTTCAAACCATATGGTTGCCTCAAGAGATGCAAAAACGAGCTTTGTGCACATGTAAGAGCACCCCGAATCCAGTGCCTGGTATTACAGTAGCACCAAGAGGCCCTAGCTGAGATCCGGGTGCCACTGGTTAGACTGTCCCCTCCACAGAGAACTTACAACCCAAATGGACAGAAGGCAGAAGAAAGGAAAAAGAAATACCCCCATTGTACAACTGGCGATCCCAGGGACAGAGACGCAGGGAGTTGTCCAAGGTCACACAGAGAGTTGGTGGCAGAGGTGAGGATTGGGACCCAGAACTCCTGTGTCACACTCTGTGATGTGCAGAGTTAAAGGGCTGGGGATATGAGGAGGAGGAAGATGGAAGGAAACAGGCAACCGTTTGTTTCAGGACATGAGCCTCACACAAGCTTCTCCAGGGTGTAGGGAGCAGGGGACGTCGCTGTAGCGAATTCTGTTTGTTTGCAAATCTCATTGCTGTTGCGGTTTGTCCCCTCTTGATTCTCTCCCATGAGGTCACCGACGTTCTAGGTCTCGCTTTAATTCTTGAAAAAGACAGCAGTGGCCCAGTCCAGAAAACTGCTAGCCCAGCGTGAAGAGCTGCTCTCCAATGAATACAAGGCTATTTGTGTAGCTGAGTGGTTAGCTAAAGTCAGAGGGTTCGGGGACGGGGCCACTTGATCCTTCCCACAGGCCGGAGACAATCTCCATTTCTGAGGCAGATGTCGAAGCTATTCAAATATCCTGAGCTGACTCTCCTCAGCTCCCTGCGGTTCTCTTCCCACAGATGTTTATTTTCTGCACAAATGTGAGTACCAAACATTTTAGGCTGAAAACCCCAAATATTTCAGTTTCCCAGGTCTGACTACATCACCCATGATGCACCTCAGTCTCCCTTCTTGCAGAGGGGAGACATTGCATCATGGGAGTCCCTGGCTCTGAGGCATGATGGGCAACATAGCCCAGCTGACAGAAGAACCACAGCTCCCATGAAAGACAATTTTCAGCCAGGCCTAGTTACAATGATACAACAATTGGGGACAGGCTCTGTCATTTACTATGGGTTTGTGCAGTGCCTAGCGCACAATGGAGCCCTTGACCTCGCTGAGGCCCATAAGAGGTACACTGTTATTAATCAGGTGTGAGCAGAGAACCAGCCCTTACCCAGCTGCGTGTGTATGAGTTATCTGGGAACCCTTTACAGTAATATCAATAATCGCTTTCCACGGCCGTCATCTGTTTCCTTTATTTCCATTTCACGCCGTTTGGCTGATGAAGCTAGACCGGTCAGTTTCACTTCCTGGTTCTCATGCACTAATCCTAACAACATAGGGTTAAATTCCACTCACACAGGTGGAGCTCTGACTCTGTGTGTAAGAGAGACGAATTCAGGCTTTTGTGCTTAGACCCGGAGACCCTCAACAACAGAAACCCTTTGGCTTGACACCTGCAGTGCGCTGAGTGCAGCCCTGCGTTCTCATCACCCTCTCCCCTGGGATCGCTTGGTCCGTCCACTTGTCAAGTCTTGTCTTAAATTAGATTTAGTGCGGGGACCATCTCTTCCTATGCACCTGCATAGTGCCTAGATCAACAAGGCCTCTGGCCACTACTGTAGTGCCCAGAATAGCACTTTTCAGCCCTGGATCTCAAAAGCACTGCCCCCAAGTGACTGGCCTGAAGTCACTTGCAGGCCACGGAATGGAAGCAGGGTCTCAACTTCCAGTCCAGTCTCTCTCCACTGAGCCCCAGTGCCCCGGTGTTCAGGTCACAATGCAGCAGATGAACAGCAACTTTAAACCAATCACGAAGCCCCGTGTGTTCATATACAACCTGGAAGCCAGGTCTCTTCACACAAGGGTACAGCAGGGTTCAGTTAGGGGCTGGCACTCCCAAAATCCCAAATCCTGGGGTAGCCTTATCGGGCAATCTGAGGGGCTGGTGGCCAAGTTACAGCCTGTCCTTCTCCAGGTTCCCCTGGTTGGACAAGGGGCAAGGGAATGGGCCCTCCCTCTCCAATAGGTCCCAGTCCAGAGCCCGAGAGGGAAGAGGTGAGGAGGATCTCAGTCCCCTCTAGCTGATACCACAGACCAACCTCCCCTTGGCCACTTCCTACCTCTTCTGTTCTCCCCTCAGTTTGGGGCATGGTCACAGCCCGGCGGAGGGTTGCTCAAGCAGTCTCAATGATTCAGACAATCGGCACTTCCCAGCCCCCGTCCCAGTGCCCGTGATTCCTTTGTTGGGGGGAATTCAAGGGGGAAAGGGGTCAGGCGCCTGGTCGAGCCGTACCCACAACCCGGGCCCGCTGTGGATTCCTCTGTCCCAGAAGCTACTGATTAGCTTCCTACCCGCAGACAGCCTCTCCCTCACAATCCCCCAGCTTGACGTCAGTATCCCCTCCTAAGCAAGTCCTCCATCTGGAGCGTGCTCTGCAGCTGCTGAGGGACAGGGCCTTTATCAGCCCAGGCCTGCTCCATCACCCCCGTAGCCTTAGTGCGGGTCTGCAAACCGCACCACGGAGGTTTGTACAGTCTCAAGATGTGGCTCAGGCCCCAGAGTTTGGTTCTAGATCCGAACTATCCCGGAGCCAGGGGCTCCATACAGCTTAGGGTTGGAATGCCCATTGTGGCTTTACAGAGGGTCTTCACTTCTTACAAAACCCAAAGCCAAGATGTTTCCTCCCTTGGTTAACAGGCTGCAGAAAAAAGGAAACGTATTCTCCTAAAATAGCCAGCAGTCCCCCACCCCACAGATGGCTGCCATCCATTTCACAGCAGCGTCAGCTGCTCTCGGCGTGAAATCCCAGCCTGAGAAACAGAAATGTCCCGTGACGAGTCTGCAAATTGTCACTTCAAGCACCAGCTCCCTCCTTACGTGGCGTCAAGTCCTCAGACCTGGGGCTAAGTCCAAAGCTATTTCATCCCGCCAAAGTCACAGCAGAACTTTTGGCCGCAGAGAGCAGACACTGCTAAAAATGAGGAGCGGCTCAGCTTCCCGGGCCATTGTCCTTTGGGGGTTGCAGGTTTTTACGGGAGTTTTAGGCCAGCGAAAGATTACCTGCCCCAGTCTCTCCCCCGACGGCACCCGCACCTTCCACCTCGTAGGCTGCATTTTATTAACAAGTAGTAAACTGACCAAGTTTGCAGATGACACAGAATTAAGGCGTGAGCCAAAGCGAAGTGAAGTCCACGGCCAGGCTCCACTTTAGTTCCAAAGGGTTTGGATCCAGCCCTTATTTAGGTGACTCAAGACCGGAGAAGACTGAACAACTTCAGAGGGACCTAACCAAGCTGGGTGAATGAGCAACATCAGAGCCAATGAAATCCAGTGCTGGCACGTGCAAAGCAATGCACCTGGGAGGGAATAAGCTCAACTCACCACTCAGGGAACATGGCCTGCACATCATCCACATCTCAATGAAAATCTCGCTCCTCAACATACAGCTGCTGGCAACAGAGCAAACATAGCATTACGACGTGTAAGGAATGGGGGGGGAAAATGCTGAAAAAGTTCTAGAGAGCAATTTGGGACATACGGTTACACTGAGAAGGGCACTTGGAAAAGGTGCAGTGGAGAACCAATCCTGCACCGGCAGAGGCTGCTGCTCCAACAGGCTTTTTCATTGCTAAATCTAAATTACTAGAGGCCCAGTGAAGGGATCACACCCCCCTTCCAAGCAGGGCCACGACATTGGACTAGACCAGCCGTTTGGTGTTCCACGAACGTCCTGTGCCCATAGACTGTAAGATCTGGGGTGGGCAGCACTATAATAAAGTGGGCTGAGATCTTGGCTAAGTCACAGACTCCTGTTTACTTGCGGTAACCAAACCGGCTGTGAGCCAGGCAAAGAGGAATACAAGAGAAAGGCATCCCAGTGCATCGATCAGCCAGCTTCCGCCACTGCTGTGCCGTATGATACTGCATGGGCGGGTGTGTCTGAGCATGGGCCGGAACCGCTCG